CCTCCCCAGAGCCCCATTCGGACCTAACGCACGCCACTAACACGAGCCGCCGGTTCTGCTCGTTCTGTCCGATAGAAGCGTGGCGAACAGCCTACCAAGGTTGCAGTTTCTACACATGCAATATATACGCCGGGTTCACTGTAAATTACATCAACACCGAACCAGACGAATAACGATTTTATTTACAGTTAGACACTTACGATACGCGAAACACGACTATCGTATTAAGCCCGCCCGCGTGTCGAGTGTTCGACGAGACGCGGCGGCCGGTTTACTTTCTCCTCGGGACGGTCGATATTATCCACACGACCAACATAGATTTTGTAACGAATTACGAACGCATGGACGAATTTTCTACGATTATCGTGAGTCTGTAAAACACACGTAACCGCCGCGCGGACCTGATTTCGAAGCAATATAAATAGCAGGAGAGTGAGAGAGAGAGAGAGAGTGAGAGCGAGAGAGAGAGAGAGAAAGAAAGAAAGAAAGAAAGAAATGACAAGTGTGTTTTTTAGTAAGTTGTGCTTTAAAGAAACGATACACGTTGAACGGACAGTGCGCGTCTTCAGAGATCCTCCGGGACGAAGAAGCGAGTGTTCTTTTTCTAATCAAAATTAAAGAGTACGTAGTTTTACGTTGGTGATCGTAAGATGAGAACGGACACTTTGAATGGATCATTTTGTACGTGCTCGAACGTATGAATGGAGCCACGAGCAAGAATGTCTCTTGTACGCAATCGTGTACCTATATACATAGATGTGTATTGATACAATACACAAACAAACCATCTGTTCATATAGGATTGTATACTACCCGCAACCATTGTTACTTGTAAAATAAACACGTTTTTATTAAATCCATCGTGTAGAAGTTATTTGGCACTGCGGACACGCGTAGACGGGGCGGAGATTCGCCGCGAGCCCGTAGGGTATTATTATTCATGATTTCCGCGGCGAAGACTGCGAGGGCAGCAGAGCTTTCCCACGAATTCCCAGACTCATCGCTTGCCCGAAAACATTACCGTGAAATGGACTGCGCTGCTTGTAAATGCATTCGAATTTCCCGCAGGGAGCCTTCCTGTTCTTGCGACCGTCTACAACCACTTTAAACACGCGTCATCTCCTCGCCACGCTAATTCCGGTCCTCGCCCAATCCCAATGGAAATAGGGAACACCGGCCCGTCGGTTACCTTTCATCGTGTCCTCGATCACTTCCGGGTAAAGTTTCCCGGTAACGGAGCTGCTCGGCGGATGCAGCCTCGGGTTCGTATTGATCTCGATTAACCAGACCGACAGGTCGTCCATTATCAGGAAATCGGCGCCGTATAATTGGAAGCTGTTCCGGCGATTCACCATGTTTTCTTGAGATGCCAGAAGTGCCCCTATTAAATTCTGCTTTATGCCCGGCTTGATCAGCTTCTCCCAGGCGAACTCGCGATCCGTCGCTCTGAAAAAGGGAAGCACGCGATACAAATAACGAGACCGGATCGAGAGAGCGTCTCGCCGACGAAATCGAATTAAACGGCACACTTTAAGTATTCCTTGAACCTCTGAAGATTCCAGTGGAGCTCGCCGGGTATCCGCGCGTTCGGTTTCACCGTTTTCCTGTACTTCAGCTGCACCGTGGTGTTGCACAGGTGAATCGACTCGTGGAAGTTTTCGAGCGTGAAGTCCTTCGACGCGAACCGCAGCAGGATGTCCCTTCGGAGGGAACGATTTCGATGAAGAGAAGGACGAGGACGAAATCCGGACAAAGGGCCGGGAAAAGGAACAAGCCAAAAGAGAATCGATACTTGTACATCCAGACGACCAACGGTTGCGTGCTCGTGATCAGAAACCATTGTCTGACGTCGACTTTCGTTTTGTGGACGAGCAGAGGCCGTTCTAAAAATAAAATGCCACTCGAGCGAAATTGTCGAAAACCGTGCGCGCCCACGACGATGTTTGCAAAACCTATGTTTCACCTATGTACTTCTGCACGACGTACTGCATGTACTCCTTCGCGGCGTGGTTCACCTTGTTCAGGATGTCGGCCAGCGAATTCTTCAACACTATGCCCCTGCCCAAGCTCTTGTCGCCCGGCTTCAAGATCCACACGTTCCTCATCCCGTCGATCCGACTCTGTGGCCGGCACTGTATCATGTCCTTCAGAGTGTTCGCCGTGTACGACACGAGGTTCTGCCATAAAACGCGTTTCATGCGCGACGCGATAAACGGGCCGGGAGCCGAACACGATCGCCGTTCGCATACCTCGATGTCGAGCCCGTCGCTTTTCTCCAGGATCTCGCGTTTGTGCAAGAAGCGTTCGTACCAAGTCAGGAACTGGCTCCAATCGGCCGGCGACACGCTCGCATCCTTGTGCTCGTCGATGTCCTCGTGCGCGCACACGCTGTAATTCATTGAACGAGCAATAAAAGAAGAATAAAGATACGAGGAGGAAGAACAACAACCTTATGTATTCCCTGCAACGCTCCAGTGCGAACAATATGGCGGACATGGGCACGGTGCCGGTCGCTGACCAAGTGGCGTTCGATCCGGCCACGCTGGCTAAAAACAGAAACCACTTGAGGATCCCCATGCAAGCGGTGATCCGAAAGTCCCGCACGAACTCCTCGATCTGTGCGGCCTGTGCAAATGCAATGGTATCATAATCTCGTGGACGTTCTAGCCCAGGAAAGTCCGATGAGCGATTTAAACGGACTTGGTACACGTTGTAGCATCGTGGGAACTGGATAGTCGACACGCCAACCTCGTAGTACCAGCAAACGTTCTCCAAGTTGTTGCACATGTCCACCTGAAAGGAGGACGATCAGAGACGGCGCCGCATCGAGAATAAAAAGGTAACCAGCATAAGCAACCTTCGACGTAAAATAACAGCCGGAGAATTTATTGACTATGGTTTTGTCGTCCATTTTCGTGGTAACCTTTTTGTTCGTATACCACATCAGATCCGCGGGACAGCGTAGCAATTTCTCAATTGTCTCCAAGCCGGCTGAAAACGAACAGGATTTAGTGGTTTCGGTAACGATTCGATCATTTCTGGGAACCTGCAGACATTTCCGGCGTCATCGAGATCATTTTGCGGATGTATCTCTTCTCGATCCAGCCGCGTTTGCCCAGAGGCTTCCTCAGGGCTGGGAACGAGCCGAAGATCACGAAGATCTTGTGCTCGTTCACCGCCTTCGTCAGCATCGTCAGAATGAAGCTGATCTTCGCTTGGTCGGTGGTCAGCAGCTTCAAATAGTCCTTCAACACGATCCTGCCGTGCTCGTTTTCTTCCTCTTTGTCCCTTTCGTCGAGGAGATCGCTCAGATCCTCGCGATTGCAGAGGATCTCGGCGTTCGCGGTTCTGACCGGTTCGGTTGCCGAAATAGCTGGAGGGTCCATGTTCGAATCGGATACACGCAGAAGCAGCTGCGACTTCTCTTCGGTTTCTTTTATGGAACTCGGATATATCTGACGGAAAACGCAAACTATAGAGACACGCGTTCGGACGAACAAATCGTTTTTCTCGTACCTGCCAACCTTGACAGTGCTCTTTAATCGTGCAATGATCGGAAGTTAACATGATCTGCCATTTTCGCGTGCTAATTGCTCTCGTGCAGTTCCGGCTCTGTATTTCGCGGTCTTCGTTCTCGAGTCCTGCAATTTTCTCGTGGACAAGCAGGATTCCATGGTTAGGATCGATCGCTTCAGCGCGTTCTCTATTTTCGAAAAAATTGATAGAGCCGTCTCGGTGTAACATAGTGCATTTTATTAGCGGTCGGCGACGGATTCGCGTGTTTGATCATGTTTTATTCATTTCGGCCTGTCTTCGCGTGCAAATTTTCCGTATGTAGTTCTCCTCGAAAAGTAACACCGTCGATGCAAATGTTCCGGGAATCGATGTATCGTGCTTCGATACTGTTATATGTTCACGGTACAAAGCGTTCACGATAACGAAGCTAGGTCATGCGCCTGTCCTCGTCGAGGAAACCTTGTTCCCTCCATTTCCAGCAGGTCCTGTATTTCGTCACCGCTTTCCGCATCGACTCGTCCAGCTCTCTCTCCAGCCTCGGATTTTTAAAGAACGGCCTCTGCACCGGCACCGTCTCCGTCTCGTTCGAGATGTCTGCGAGATGTTTGCTTCGCCCTCTGTCCAATATCTCGTCCACGAGATTCGTCTTCGCCGGTTTGTTACTCGGCTCGATGCATGGCTTAGACTCTGTGTTCATTCTCGTCTCCGTCAACGTGCTGATCACTTCCTCGATGGACTTCAACAAACGCCTGTTCCTATCGATCCTATCCCCGATCGTACCTTCGCTGTTCCTCGTCGCGTCGCCCGCGGGATGGGGGAATTTCTCTGAAACGGAAGAGAACATTTTTTTTCTTATTACAAATAGGATTGTTCTTTCTCGCGTGTTACCTGGAAGAATATGCGCGAGCTCGGGACACTGCAAAGCACGCGCAGCAACAGGATCCGCGTTCGTTCCTCGGCAATGTTTCTCGCTCCGCGGACAATACTTCCTCGGACACTTGTCCCTTTTCATTATCCTCGGCAGCTTCGCGGGCACGCTTCCGGTTTCTTCCTGGATCCATCGTTTCCTCGGCGCAGGATCGATGCAAACCGGTGCACAAAATCGCACCCTGGGCGCATCGTTCGATTTACGACTGTCTACGATCGTCACGGGTTCGTTCTGGTCTTCGAAACACATAGGAAACCCGTGCGACCATTGTCCAGAGGTGTCCGGTACATCCAACTCGTTCTCAGAGTCCGTGCAAGTGTCCGACGAGAGCGAGGGCGCGATCGAGCGCTGCCAGGTGCCATTTCTCGAATGAAATTTGCGGCTGAAACTTATAACCTACAGGCGATTACGTACCTGGCGCTCAGGCTGCCGGAAGAAGGTGCACTGGAAGTTGTCCCCGCCGATGGCAGCGCGATCAGGTGTCGTACCTGCGTCTGTCGAAGAGACGGCGTACGCAGAGCCTGAATAGTTTGAAGAAGGGCGTACGCACTCCATTCCACGTGATCAGCAGGGTCAGCAGGAACGTGTAGTTTTTAATCTTCTCGCAATCTAGCATGAAAGGGGGAGGGATTTCTGGAGCACCGCGGCCTCCATTTGCCTGACCGTTACTCGGAGGATTTTGCGTTTTCGCGGGAGGTTGCCATTTGACGGTGAATTTTTGGAACGGCTCGAATCCGCCTGGTCCATGTGCGGAAGTCGACAGGACGTTGTTTCGGCGGACCGTACAGGGTGTTCGCATTGACAGGAAAATACAGGGATCGATGATACAAGTTTGTTTATTGACTATGTTTAGCGGTACGATCGAAATATAGACTTCTAGAACGGATCAACAGTGGTCGGGAGCAACGGATAACGAGTGCAGATCACAACGAGCTTGTTAACATTATTTTGTCAGCCTCATGCCGACCGCGTACATGTCGGTGATGTCGGTCAGCACCATGTTCTTCCTCTGATGAACGCTCTTCCTCGGGACGACGCTGCGGCTCTTGCTCTTCCCCGTGGTCACTTCGCTCGTTCTGCTCGACGGCAGTAGAGAAGGCAGTGCCGGCACATCCGACGGGCTCGGAGCCAGGGTGCCGCTTCTTTTGTACTTTTTGATAGCGTCCCGCACAGCCGACTTGATGATCTAAACAGTCGCAAGAGAAGCGTCGCTGAAACGGAGCTACCGAAAATCGCGGAAGAGGTACAACCTTCTCCTGAGTCGTTTTGCTCGGCTTGTCGCTCTTCGGGGCCAGCTTCGTCGACTGTTTCTGGAAGGCCATGATCTTCGAGATCAAGGACTGCCTGACGGGTGACCCGTCCATTTTGTAGGTCGTCGCTCCGGTAAACGCCCTCGACTTTCTCGGCGTCCGAGATGGCGCCCTCTGACTGCCGATGGTCTTCTCGGGTATCTTCAAGTTCTGTGGAGAACGATGATCGTGAAAATGCTCGGGCATTTTCAGCCTTCTTCGACGTTTACCTGAACCGCCCCCAACGACTTGGATTTAACATTGGGTCTGCCACCCGTGGGTGCGCTTTTCACGGTCGACTCCTGCTTATCGACCAGCATGGCGGTCTTCGGGGATTTCGGTGCCGCAGTCGCTGGCAGTGCTTGCCTGAATTTGGGCGAGTCCACCTTGTAGTAGGCGTAGAACTCCTGGTCCAGCTGGATCTCCAGCTCCTCGATCAGATCGACGATCACTGGTCCGATCTGCGTGTTCACCGTCGACTTCTTCTTCGTCAGACACGTCTGCGATCGCGCGCGTTGTTCGGTCAGATTTGTCTCTAGATTGTCTATAGATTGGAATACCTACCATCGGCGTCTTGGACGAAAGGCTGACTTTGGAGTCCTGGCCGAAGCAATTCGACTTCTTCTCGAAAGACGTGATTCGAGTCCCTTGAAGGGACAACGCCGCGCCCAGATACGGCTGACAGCTGGGCATCCTCTGCCTGTAAGCCAGCTCGAACTCCCCCGTGTCCGCGTTCTTATCCTCCCGGAAATCGATCACCACTGCGGAATCAAAGTTTCACCCTGAGAGACTTTGCATTATGGATTTTGCAATCCGGGCGCAGAGGGCGGAATAACTCGAGCACCTTTCACGGTGTCCTCCAAGACCTGTCTGCAGAGGCGAGTGGTCACTTTGCTCGAGTAGCTCATGTCCGGGTGGCTGTTGATCTCGATCAGCCAGACGGAAAAGTCCTCCATGACCATGAAGTCCGCGCCGTAAAGCTCGAAGCTGTTCTTCCGGCGATCCATGGCTTCCTGGCTGGCCAGCAGAGATCCCACCAGACCCTGCTTCATCCCCGGGTATATGGTCTCGTCCCACGCCTTGTCGTGACCCTGGGACCTGCGGAAGTTTCATTCGATCGCTGTAACGCGGATCGGGAACACGGAATATTCGGAATTGGATCGTACTTGAGGAAGTCCTTGAAGGTGGTCGCGTCCCACATGTTGTCCGAGGGCAACGCAGGATCCCTGTCGCCGCAATTCGTGTACTTGCACTGGATCGCGTGATTGCACAGGTGGATCGATTCGTGGAAGTTCGTCAGGCAGAATTTCTGCGAGCAGAACCGCAGATAGCTCTCCCTGCAACGAGACATCGCGGATCCTAGGTCGGCCGTGATCCCGGGTCATGAACGCGTCCTATCGGGACACGGTCGGACGCACCGCGTAGTCCGTCTTTGTCGGGCCGAGCATTTACGCGAACTGGGTTAGAAAGGATCAATTTGGTAGCGGGGCGAGCTTCTAACCGGTAATTGACTGCGGGTGGCCCTGGCCACCCCGGATTTCGCAGGGGCTGCTCTAAATATAGGATAAAACTCGGGCGTCTATGTCCCGCCCGGCGAGCCGCCCGACCGTCGATATAGATTCGCGATAATTATGACGAATGCGAGTTCAGCGGCAATTAAACGGCACCGGGAGTTTACGAGGCACGGGATCGTTACGCGGAACAGAAACCGGCGGCCCTCGCTCGCCTCTCCGCAACCGAGAACTTGCGATTTACTTGTATATCCAGAGAGTCAGGGGCTGGGCGCAGGTGACGATGAACCACTGCCTGATGTCGAACTTCGTGCTGTGAATGAGCAACGGCCGTTCTACGAGAACAGAGTCGAACGGAGACCTATTAACACGATTCGATCGGAATCTATCGATCGGCAGGTTCGACACTAAACCCACCGAGCACTAAAAATGACTGACGCGCGTTGCTTCGTGAGAACGACAGCGCTGAATTTAACCTAGACTCTGCGCCATTTTTATCGCAATGTCTGCTCTAATTGAGGAACGTTATTCGATCGATTCCAGCGAGGAAGTCTCCATAATTTCAACAATTTTCGAACGGAAAAATACGCAACCGGTCATTCGGACCGCTGCCGTAGGTTTAGCGTTAAAACACCAATTACCGATGTACTTCTGCACGACGTAACGGGTGTCCGTTTTGTTCGACGGATTCATCTTCGCCATCACGTCCTCCAGTTTGTTGAGCAGCACGATGCCGCGGCCCCGACTCTTGTTCCCAGGCTTCATGATCCACACGTTCATCGTGCCGTCCATGTCCATCTGGGGACAGTACTTCCTCATCTTCTTCAGGATGTGCTTCGCCGCCAGGAAGAATTTCTGTTCGGATCGTTTCAAGTTAATGGAATCCCCGGCGATCGGCTAGGGCTGCCGGGGCTGCCTAGACCGCTTACTTGAAAAGGCACGCTGTTCCGAATGAACAACGACTGGCCGTGGACGATCAGATAGTACCAGCTGATAAACTGGTCCCACTGATGCGCCCACACCCTCTCCGTCTCCTGATCGATGTCCTCGTGGGACTGGGCGCTGATGTAATCGCTGCACCGCTTGATCGCGAACTCCAGGGCCTTTAATGGCACCGTGCCCGTCGGCGATCGCACCGCGTTCTCGCCTTCCGCGTTGATCTTGTCTACCAGCCACTTCAGCAGGCTCAGGCAGGCCGTGAACCTATAAAAAAAGAACCCAGTGTCGTCTCTTTCGTCTCGTCGGAAAAACCAGGGCTCCGGATTTATCTCGTTCGATCGAGCGAAGAAGACCGGCCGTACGCGAAACGGAAAAGCCAGGAGTTTGCTCACCGAAAGTCTTCGACGAACGCGTGCATCTGATCACCTTGGCACAGGTTGTAGCAGCGAGGGAAGAGGGTGTTCGCCACCCCGGCCTCGTAATACCAGTGCATCTGTCTGACGTTCGAGCACAAGCCCACCTAAGGCGATCGAGTCTCTTAGGAAGCATGTATTATTCTCGCTTGGCGAGCTAATATCAAAGGACCGCCGGGAATCGAGCTAGAACACCGTTCAGATACCTTCGAGGTGAATCCGGCCCGGCAGTATCTGTTGAAGATGGTGGTCTTGTTGTCCTGGGACGGCCATCCGGGCCACTCGGACCCCGTGTTCCACAGGAAGTCGACGGTATGGTTGCTGAGCATCCTCGAGATCAGCTGCCGTTCGCTCTGCTGGTCCTTCAAGTCGCCGATGCCGGCCAGCAGCACCACGGGACTCGAGTTCACGGTGAAATGTTCGGCTGAAAACAGGAGTCGCTGCGAGGAGTCAAGATTTAACGGGAGATCGGACAACAACGATCCGTACCGGTCGGATTCTTCCGGAAGAATTTCTCGCACCAGCCCCTCTTCAGCAGACATTCCCGGACCACGCGAGCCCTTCCGTAGATCATGAACGTGTGGTGAGCTGTTATGGCGTCCTTTACCATCTCCTTGATGCGCATGAAGCGCTCGTGGAGCGTCGGTGGCAGTTCCACGAGGGCTTGAACGGATTCTGCGAGCAAAGGGTGAAAATGAGAGCGCAGAAAAGATGGGGGATACCAACTGCTACCTTCTTCTTTGGGTTCCTTCGCGTCGCCGGAAGCATTGTTCGTGTTCGTTTCCGGCTGCGCGACGTTCTCCTCTACGGTCTCCGTGTCATTTTTCTCCGCTTTTTCCGGGCTGACCGGCTCCAGATTCGAGGCAGCCTCATCGTTCGCATTCATGTAGTGCACTTGCAGGTATTTAGGCGAGTCTCGCCGCGCTGAGTCACACGGTCGATCTCTAGTCCAGCTTCATCGCAACGCGCTTCGCCGGAGGAAGAACGGGCCCGAAGAGGTCGACGGCAGTTTACCCTGGATCAGCTTGTCGAATTGAAGGGACACGGTGAAACGAGCTCGACGAAGGGAAAACGCTAATCTACAGTTCCTACGACCGCGTCGATTCGAACGCATGGCGGCAGAATTTCCTCCTGTACCTGTTGAGTTCTAGAACGTCCCTCTTCACCATCCTCCTATCGCGGCCACCGTCTTTAGCGAACAATTACCGTGTCTCGAATGGGAACGGACCGACGAGGGGGTTCCCGCGACCTCGCATGATCGGAGACAACATCCCCCGAGCCCGGAAAAACTCGTGCCACCCTGGGAACTACGAGGAACCGACGAGACGGAAGCAGAACACCGACTGAACGTCATCGAGGACAGACACTGGGTATGTGCACAGAATCTAGAATTCCGCAGGCGTGCGCCTTGAAAGCGTTTTAAAGCTCCCCAACTATTCGGCCCGCTCGGATAAGATCGCATAACCGCGTCCCTAAGAGCGCGCAATTAACGTCGCATTACAAGATCCTTGAATCGTTCGCTCGGCACGAGAACAAAGAAACCCTTCGACTATGGAACGCGCGCCGAATCGTTCACCCTTGGCTCTCGCGCGTCAGGTGTCGTCGAGATCGAGAAAAAAAATCGTTTCGAAGTTTCGATCGATAGGCGCGGCGGTGCAGCGTCTAAACGCATCCTATCCATTGAAAATCTCAAATGTCACGATATTAGCCATTATGCAACCGGTTTCCAAGAAGGGTAAAAACGGCCGGATGGGGCGGTGGGGGGCTGGAGAGGGTTGGAGAGGGCTGGAGGAGCGTACCAGGCACCCCTGCGGAACTTCTCGAGCGCTGAATGCAGGCAAAGAAGGAAAAAGCGATCGCGTGGGTTGGCCTAACCGCTCCCGTTTCGCAAGCTATGACCCACTTATGCGAGCGCATCTTGGTTCGCGTGAAGAGGCAGACCAGACGAATCGCTTCGACCCGCTATCGCTAATTATACGAGTTCGATTCGGCGCTGATAATCTCGAAGGATCCGCCGCCGACGTGGATATGTGGGGCGCGGTACTATTTCGGAATTCGGTCGCACCTCGCGCGTATTTCCTTATCGGTCCCGAGCGGATAGTCGCGTGTGATAAAAGCAACGTCGCCGTTATCTAGCCGAACGCCTTGTCCACCGTGCTGGAACTTGTCGCTGCTACCGGCCAACGATCGCCGACCAAAACGGATCCCGTTAACTTGCGCCGATCTAGACACACCTCTGGCCTATCTTAATTACTTACCATTAGATACGATTTGATGTATGGTGTGGGAAATCATAGAATTCGACTGTACGACTTCATTCGGAGGATACCCGAGTGCGGGTGGCGTGGACGGAGGGCGTTAAAAGGATGCTCGTGGGTGATGTGTCACTGAAATATTGAAAACGTTACGAAATACGGACGATCTCCGAAAGAACGAAGGAAACCGTGGGACAAACATGTCACTGTCGGTGTCAATACATGATCGAAAGCAGCGAGAAGTGAAGTTGTATCGGCTATTACGCTCCAATACAGTAATGTCTCTCTAATTGACGCTCGGATTGTCCACAAAAATCGACGATTTTGGAAATGGAGATACGACTGTTCGAGCCTTGTGGCTCGTTTTTTATGGTATATTGATTGACAATAAAAATAAGCTTCAAAGCACGAATAATCGTATCTCCTCTTCCCGAATTGTCCATTTTTGTACACAATCTGAGCGTCAATTAGAGAGACATTACCGTATTTCTAGACCACGGTGCGATCATTTATTTGTGGGCGACGATTCGTTGAACACCGCAAAGTTATATTTTTCAATGAGAGCTGGAAATATCGATAAGTCCTGAATTCTTAACGCGGCGTAAAATTAATCGATCTTAAATCGTATCAAAGATGAATTTTCATAGAAACTTTAGGACAATTAAGGACTCGAATGGAAGCTGGAGGATTCAGTTCGCCATCGGATTTCATTTCGAATTAAATATTTATTGAATTCGAATTGCACAGTAATTTCAGATTATGCGATGTACCGTCGCATTAGAAATTTGCCGCCGTCGCACCTGCCATCAGTATGAACTATTAGGCCTGTAAAGTTCCAGCAGTTGGCAGCACGATCTTCCCGAGTGTTACAGAAGCTCCCGACAGAGGCTGCTGTCGCGGCACGGAATTTTCTACAGAATCGGTAATTCAGATCCTGGGACAGAAAAATCACGTGACTAACCCATGTCGGACAACACAGAATCGTTCGCTTGCGCTGTGGAGGCATTAATTTGGTACGAAAACATTCGATTCTGACGTACCGCACCACGAAAGCTGACCGACAACTTCGTCCACACTTATTATTCGTCCGAAAGGTATAAAAATCTATCGATACTCTTCTCATACTAATTAAGACCGGAATAGTATAACCCACGTGAAATGTGTATCGCATGTATAACTCGCATTTATTTCACATATCCCGACTAGAAGATCGATTGGTAGTGGTTTTCATCGGACAATTCGATGGATAACTTTGTGCGAACAAAGCTATGTGCATATTAGTACTGTACATTTTGAAAATTGTCACTTTGAATTTTGACAAAGTATTTGTAGGTTATGTTTCGAAGGATCGTTGGCACGCAGTCGAACGGTGATGGAATTTACCATTTAACCATTAACCTCGAATATCCTTTTCACCGATCCTTTCCAGCGAACGTGCGATACTTGTGTGCATAGATATCGCGTAAATCGGAGGATATTCTTTTAGAATGTCTGGTCGGGACGGTGGCAAGAAAAAACCTCTGAAGGCGCCCAAAAAGGAACCGAAGCAGCTGGACGACGATGACGTTGCTTTCAAACAAAAGCAAAAGGAACAACAGAAAGCCCTCCAGGAGGCCGCGAAAAAGGCTAGTCAGAGAGGGCCCCTGGTCACGGGTGGCATAAAGAAATCTGGCAAAAAATGATCTATCCAAGACTGAGAAGATCGCATTTTTCGTGCGCTCTGTGTTTTTTTACCGAGACATGATTTTTGATATTAATTAGCGTGTCAATTGCAACATCTGTCGACGGCGTTACTACGAGAAATGGTAAAACCACTTGTAAATAAAACGATCATGTATTAAATCACAGTAGTAACATGCATTTAATAGGCATTTGAATTTCTTCGTTCGACGGCGAGGATCGACGAGAGGAAACGCATGGGGACACGACCTCGTCGACGCGTTTCCTACGTTTGTACCGTGATCGTGCGACCAGCAATGTGATAGCAATAAAATTATGTTGAAAATCTACAGGAGAAACAAAACGCATATTGTGGAGATCCGAATTTGCGAGGCGCAATCCATCCAAGCGACGACCGATATAATCGTTACAAGATTCGCGTTTTACGATTGCTTAAGACCTGTTCTCATTTAACCGTCAAATAATAAATCCGTTACATCAATTAACCTTGACGCGAAAATACTCCGCTCGAAGATTTCGAACGCGTCTCGCCGACCGCGGTCTTTCGATTCGATCGACGACGTTATTGCGCAACGTTATCAATAATAATAAAAAGAAATGTGGTAATACATAGGCCCGGCAGATACGATAAACAATATGCAAATAACATGCGTTTATCGATCGCTCTGCGTGCGGATTTCTGAAATCGGCCGCAAAACATATGTCCATTGACGAAACGTGAATTACAGCTGATTGCCATATGATCGACAGTGCGGCCAACCTCCCGGAAAAATGTCCCTGCGCGTCGTTCCCTTCCATCTTGTGGATATCGTGGACGGTCGATTCTCCAGCCCAACGTAGGCATTCCGAACGATTAAATCGACCGAATTCCCAACGCGTCGAGTCCCCGAGATCGTTAAATAGCATACATGTCATCAATGCGCGACTAAAAACCGTTGACAATCCGTTTAAGCGATTCTTCCCCCCTCCACGGTTCTATTCGGACAAAAGTAAACGGTACGGTCGCGTTATCGGCGAAACAAACGACGAATCTCCCAAGGAAAACCAAGCCACGCCATCGAGAAAGAATAACCTCGACGACGCGGGTGTTCGGAACCAAGAGAATTGCGTTTATCGGCCGAGGTTCGATCGAAACGCGTGTCGGATGGTTCCGCGAAGGTCTTTGTGCAACATTGTGGTGGGGGAGAACGGTTGGTTCCTTTCGCGGGCGAAGGTTGGCAGTAGTGCTGGCCCGCAGAGAGCTGTCACTGGCTGGGTCAGTTGGCAACAGACCTTCGAGGTGGTCGTGAGTGCTTGTGCTGTCGCAGTCTCGTGCCCGTCAAACTTCTCTCGACGGGTTTTCGACGCGGAAAGGACGATCGGCGGAAGAGCTACCAGACGAATCGTGACAGGGCAGGAACGAGTACAGGAGTGCGTCGATAGTTTGGAGAAAAGCATGGGGCTGGTCAGGATCATTTGACCCACGGGAACGGCTCCAGGCTCGGTGGATCGTGCTACCTCGCTTGATACTACAAATCGGTGAGTACTTTCAACGATTTCACGGTCCCGTTTAATCGGTTGACAGCTTGTTCCTGCGCGTCCGATAAAAAGAGCATCGCGACCAGAGCGAGGAGGCCCTTCCTCGGCCCTCTCCACCTCTTCGTCTTTCTCCCTGTCTCCCTTTCTTCCTTTCTCCGTCTGTTAAGCAGCGTCCATGGTTTCGTAGTTTCGTACCATAGACTGGCGTAGTGTACCGTGCGTGGAAGACGGTACGTATGTACACACACAGTTGGTCTCGTCGAAACGACGAGCTGGCAATCCGAGGCGTACATTCGGAAGAAAAAGATTCGGCAGCGCAGCGATCCATATTCTTTCGGCTGCTGGCCCTTCCTTGGGCGAGGGCACTCGGAACCATCTCGCAACGCGAGTAGAAAGTACACTTCAGAAATTGTTAATTAGCTACGCGGACACTCGATCGCTACGGCCCTGCCAGCCGCGGACCGTTTTTCCGAAGCGGAAAGTTCTTTCGCCGGGTCTTTTCGACGGCGAAGGTCTAGCCTAAAGCCAGGACCCAAAGAGAGGGGCCCGACGAACGCCTGTGGCGTGTGTTCGTCTCACCGACACCGCCGTTTCGCGTGTGCCCAGGGGCCAGGGGCCCCGGGCCCCGGAGTGCCCACAAATGGTGTAGGACACCATGTTATTCACCTGCGTCGCGGTACCATATTGCGTACCGTGGGCTTTTTTTCAACGCTTCCACCACCCTCGGAGGGTAGCGCTTAACCGCTGCAGAGATGATCGAGCGCGATTTCCTGGCCTGACATGTGTGTGGGCCAGCGCTGCGCCCGTATAAACCTATATGCCTATCGCCTCGTAGGTGTATTCAGTGTTCTGTCGCGAGAAAAGGACCGACCGAGAGAGACGGCGCTCTCGGTTTAATGCGTATATCTTGTCCCTCGCCACGCGTATACGTACGTATATCACGATCCCAGAGTTTCTGTCTCTCTCTCTCTCTCTCTCGGTTTCTCTCTTTCGGGGATCTCGCCGAGAGAACCCTTTAAGGCCACTCTGCGATTCAACGGGTCGCGTTATTCCAAATAATCGCCCCTCCTCGCCCCGGCGAATTTAAACGTCGCGCTCTCGCAGCGCCTCCGCGTTCCAAAATGTTTTCATCGAATATTCCATTTTCGAGCGACCCCAGGCGTTGCTCGTATTTCGAATTTCCCCGCCGAGTCGCGCGCCGAAATATTCCGCGACGCGAAATTTCTAGTCGATTCCGGAGAAGCGTTCGCCACCGAAGGGTTGATTTCCGCGCAGCCTGCACGTTGCAGCGAAAGGGGACGAGTTAGACCGAACGCGTTAGTCCGAGATGTTTCGAGTTTCGTAACGATTACTTTGCGCCGTTAAATCATCGTGTTCCTCGAGGCCTAAGGCTCGTCGAGCGAGCAACGCTATCCGCGTCGCCTGTTCTTTTTTTTCCACGCCCGAGTCCGCGGTTCCGTGAAAATTCGAACGAGCGATCTACCTTCGCCGGTCTCGAATCGATTCTCGCCTCGTTTCGTCGTAACGGGCCGAGAGAAACAATCGCCGGGACAAGCCTATGACGCATTCGACTGCACGCGAACGGCTCGCATATAGATATCACTTTTTTTTTGCAGCTGCGATCACCCTCTTCCCACCCTTTCTCCTCTTTGCTTAGCACACCGGAGTCGCTTTGTCACTTTTGCTACACTTTTTTTTCGTTCTACTCGATGCCGGTTCGTTCGTTGCTCGGCGTTGCCCGGAATTTTCCAACGAGCAAATGAATTTTAGAGAAACTAATTAATCGGCAGCCTACATCCTCGGTCGCGGTCCAAATGCTTCGACGCTATCGCTTTTGCCGATCTGTACGCAAATTCCCATTTTCTCCGAGATAAGAGAGCAATTCGTTTCGCCGATTGAACGACTGCTCCGGTGGGGAGAAGAGAGACGCCATTGATCTTCATTAGCGTAAACGTTCGCAAATGCTACGATCGCATAGAGATAACCCCGGTCTACGGATTACGGAGCGGCCAGTTTAGCTTACTTTTCGTTGGAAAATGTTCTCCGACGTGTCCGACCGCTTCCTCGTGCGATTAGCGCTGCGTGCGGATTAGAGGTACCCACAAGGTCCGAACCGGTGGTTACGGTGGTCCCAAAAGTTTTAGGGCAGCCTGTAAACAACGGACTCTCCCGACACACAGCTATCGTGGACAACCGGCTCGGTGTTGCTGCCACAACGATCGTCTTCGCGTTTCCTTACCAATTCTCGAGCAATGTTGCGTCAACCTCCGTGACGCATCCGTGTCGCACGTGAAACATCGGGGGGCGAGTTAGCAGCCCAGTGTGCGGCGCAAGACAAGGGCCTGTACGTGGAACGTGCTCTCCAGGGTTATCACGCGTCGCGACGGGTTACTTTTTTACGAATCGATAGACGAAGGCTGCCCTCTCTCTCTCTCTCTCTCTCTCTCTCTCTCTCTCTCTCTTTCTCTCTCGTCTTCTCGGGTTTTGGTGGTTTCGAGCGGCTATGCGCGGCGGCGAGAGCTCGTTGCGTCATATGTGCTACGAGCACGACCAAAGACACGTGCTGACACACGCAACGCTTCTGCGTCGAGAGCACCGTAACAATTACGAAAGAAAATATCGCGAGACCGTGGCGGTGCTCGCTCGCTCGCTAAACAACCAATCGATCAATTTAGCTCCCTCGCGAACGCGTGCGAAGCCTGCGAGCTCGATCGACGGACGATTCACTCGCGAATCCCGGTTTCTTTAATCTGTTTCAATTCGTTGGGGGACGAAGCAGCGAGCCTGTGCAAGCTCATTAGTTCGAGCGACGCGTCCGCAGCCCGATAACGATTTCGAACCGAGAAGCGGAAACGGCTTCGCGTTTTCACGTTCTTCCGGTGTTGTTCCGCGTACCTCGGCCGCGCCGCGATCGTTTTCGGCCTCGTCATCGCGCGAGTGCACGCGTCGCGCCGCAACCTTGTGCAACGCTCAACCGATTCACACCTACGCGGAACCGATCCCTTTCGCGGTTCTCTCTTTGTCACGGTCCCCGCGCGACGAACGCGCTTCGAGAACTGCAGAACTTGCCCGGTTTTTTCGTTCGTCCGGCCGAACGGGCTTCTGCCGCAATTAACGGCAATCAGCTGCATCGCTTTCGCGATTCCAGCAGGTCACCGCTTGCGTCACTGGCCGTAGATAAAAACGATTCCTCGCGACGTTTCCGACGTCACCGATGTGAACGCTACACGCGACGAAATCGTGCGAGATATCTCGATCGTCCGAGCGAGGCGATCGGTCATTCCTCGATGTTCGATCGTATCGATGCAACGAAATATCGCGATCGACGGGAAATCAAACGCTCGATCCACGGCGATTACGGGAAGCTGTCGGTCGGCCCGGATTGCGCCGCTTTTATTTCGGTGAATCGCACAGGCCGCGGAAAGTTGCTTCGGTCCGCCGATAAGCGTGACACCCGAGCGAGAAACTTTCTCGATGATAAAGCGAATAACGCTCGGCGAAGTTGATCGAACGCTTCGGCAAGGATTCAACGGCGTTACGTAAACGAGATCAGGCGCATTGCAGCTCGCGCTGCAAAGACGTCGCGGAATTATCGTCGATCTTTTTGAATCTCATTTGAGCCGCGTCGCGAAACAACGCGGACGTTATTAGCGGTACGCAATGCGGT